ACATACGTGGTAAATCAATACATTAGAATCCAACTACTTACATACGTGGTAAATCAACACATTAGAATCCAACTACTTACATACGTGGTAAATCAACACATTAGAATCCAACTATCAATAGAATACAAAACCGCACGTTTTATTTTTGACACTAACAAGACAATTTCGATTTATTTCGTAGTTTCACGTTTCTTCACGATCAAATATTGTAAATAGATAACACTTTCAAAAAACAAAACCAAAAAAAAACATGAGTATACAATACAAAACGTTATGGAGGCAGATGTTATATAACATATTGTTAAACGAATGTTTTATATGTTAGATTTCAATGTTAAACAACATTGAAGTATACCACAGAGGTTTCTGTAGGCAGTCTGTACAGAACTGTACATAGTTAATCCAGTCCAATTTCCCGGAAATCAGAGCTGTCGAAGCATTTTTGAGTAGAATAGGGTACAGGGTGCTGTTTATAAAGTTTGGAGCTGCTGATTCTGTAAATCCTCTATATCGAGCTAAGTTTGACGTTTTTGACTCACAAAAATTGACAAAAAACAAGATGGTCGCCAAGTATAACTGAAGTCACTATCACTTCTCACCTGTTCGATATTTAAAAAAAAATATGATCTAAGACTCTTTTCTAACACTGAATGCACCCATTAACCCAATTAAAGTAAAATTGAAAGTGTAGGACTAAGCCCTCAAGGTTATAAGTGAAAAGTCAAGGTCATTTTTTTCCAAACTGGCTGACAAATAGAACTTGAAGATACTATAACCGCTGTTCCAATTAAAATAAAATTATAATGGATTTTAGCGTGGAAGTCTTAAAATTACCACTGACCCGCTGGGAAACGTGATTTGTAAAAGTATGCGATCTTATAGACGTGTGCATTGATATCCGATACAGAAACAGTTCTTTCTAAGAGCTGTGTTAACCACTGTGACGTCATTCAGCGTGCAATTTAATAAATGTATTTTTTACCCACAAAAGCGTGTTATAGGCAGCTACTAAAGAAATGCGGGAACTATATGTTTTATTTGTTTATTAAATTGGAATCCCAGCAAAGAACTTTCTACGTGTTTCATTATTTAAAATGTTTTATTACATAGAGATTATAGCGAAATGTACTAATTTCGTATTTTTCAAACGTTGTATATTTGTAACGATTATCTTTTTTTTTCTTCTTCTCTTTATTATGCCGACTTTATCAAAATTACAGAGCTAGAGTGCTATTATACTCATATTCGTATTACGCACCACTCGACGAACAAAGGTGTGGGTCCTTGTTTTGTCACATTTATCTCTTTATCCGAAGATAAAACAAATGACAGTCATCTTTGGAAAAAATTATCTGCCGTCAACTTGATTCCTCTGTCAAGTTGGAAAGAGCGCAGTATTTACTAAAGGATTAAGAAGCTTGAGTTCAAAGGTATCTTTATGCCTTTGATCATTGTAACGACTATTAAAACGTACTAGCATTGTATAACTCATCATATTATGAGTTCGATCCCTGAGGTGGACACAGCACAGATAGCCCATGTACAGCTTTGTGTTGAACAAAAAAAAACAGTCTAAGCTCGGGCTCCTCTGGTGGCTCAGAGCTAAGATCGAGAACTTAAAATGCAAAGAATTCGGGGCTCGATCACTGCTATGGACACAGCACAGATAATCTACTGTTGAGCTTTGCGCGCTGAACAACAAAACAAACAAACAATCTAAGCTCGGTGCCTTAAAGCAGTACAGTATCAGTTAGATAAAGTATCATCAACTGAATTGTTATTAGCTTTCCGACAACAGATGTTTACCGGATGAAAGGCTAGGTTTATTCATTTATTACAGCAGCTATTCCCAAACTTTCTACCTCCGCGTTGCCACTCGCCTCCAGAGTGCATATGTAGGGTACCACCATGGGACCCACATATGCCCAACATTCGCATAAACAGTAAAATTAATGGCAGTGTTGGTTGGTTTGTTTGTTTGTTTTGAATTTCGCGCAAAGCTACACGAGGGCTATCTGCGCTAGCCGTCCATAATTTAGCAGTGTAAGACTAGAGGGAAGGCAGCTAGTCATCACCACCCACCGCCAACTCTTGGGCTACTCTTTTACCTACGAACAATGGGAAAGACTGTCACATTATAACGCCCCCACGGCTGAAAGGGCGAGCATGTTTGGTGGGATGGGGATGCGAACCCGCGACCAGCAGATTGCGAGTCGAGCGTCCTAACCACCTGGCCATGCCGGGCCCAGGCAGTGTTGGAGACAAAGTACATTCGGCTAATATTTTATTACACGGATATTGAAAACCAATTTTTGGGGTCATCAGCCAAGAGTTGAGCCACTGGAAAACGCCACAGTTTAGGAACAGTTCTATTAATTTAATGATTACTCATATAGCTATTGATTGGGTTTATTGTACTGTTTCTTACACGATTTAAATATGGAGAAAAAAATTAATATATCAAGACTTCATATTTCCCTCTTACACATTCTTCAGACTATAACCCCCTACTCACCTTAAAAATAACCATATGTAAGAAATGTCAAGGAAGTATAATATTTCGTTCTGTCCAGTAGGTCCGCCCCCGGTGGCACAGCACTATGTCTGCGGACTTACAACGCTAGAAACCTGGTTTCGATACCCGTGGTGGGCAGAGCACAGATAGCCCTTGGGTAGCTTTGTGCATAATTAAAAACAAACAAACCAATAGGTCCTCCGGTGGGACAGTCTACGGATTTACAACGCTCAAATCCGGGGTTCGATTCCTCGCGGTAGACGCTAATTAATTTTTTTCTGACCAAATATCGAATAATTATTTCAGTTTATATGAAACTTCTTACCAGAAGGTGGATTTGTGAACCGTAATTGTTTTAAAAATATTTCACCAAAAGAAAAATGTCATCTCAAGTTAACTTATGTTAAGATGTTGGTTGACCAACTAATGTTCCTTTTTTCAGGTTGAAGGATGAGAAACTTCAATGTTTTTAACAACGAATAATCTATAGCAAAAAAGGAGCATGTTTAATTCATTAGTTTTACTATATTT